AATCCGGCCGCTGACACTGCAGGCGGGGGCACCGCGGGAGCCCGGCCCAGGCGAGGACGCTGGCGGGCTCACTGAGCTGGGCACGAGTTTGGCTTCCTGGTCATTCTTTAAAAAAAAACCCAGCCGAAAAAAGTTGAAAATCCGGAGCGCTCGAGGTGGACGCGTCCGCTCACCAAGGGCTCGGGGCCAGCCCCGCGTGGTACGAAGCCTCGGGCCGGCGAGAGCAGCGCTTGCCTGGGACTGGGTTACGAGCCGGGCGGAGGCGGCTCTTTCCAGACTTTCTGACGGGGTCGGCTCAAAGTCACTCTTTCCTCGGGAGAAGTGGCTGTTGTGCATCAGCTGTCAGCGCTTCTCTGTGTTTCGGGGCGGTCTCAACCCGCAGTCCGTAAAACGGCAGCTTGAGAACTAGGGAGCGTGTGGTGCGCCGCATGGGCCGGTGGCGGGGATCGCAGTGCCTGTGCGAGCAGCCCCGCCGGCCGGGCGTTTAGTGTCACCGTAACCTGGGCCTGGTTGACAGGGTGGGACGTTACTGGACGGACGCTAGGTCTGTGGTTTTGTTTTTTAAGGAAAGCCCAGAATCTAGCGTAGCTGTCTTGGAGGAGTAGGCGGGTACATCAGAAGATGCTTGCCTGCATTTACAAACTACACCACTTCTCCCTACGTGAGTTTATTTTGGCTATTGCTGTTGACCACGGCGGGGCTGGGCCTCAAGCCCCCTGCGGAGTTTGGAGCGTGTGAGCCTCGCTTGGAGTGCTGCTCATTTGGGTGTGTTTGCCTTGGACGTCATTTATAGGGCCTGGCTCCATGCGGAGCTCCGCCCTGCACGCGATGGCTCTGATGAAATGTGTTTGGCGCCTCAGCTCAGGTCCGCGGGGTCCCCGGCTTAAACTTCCTAGAGGCTGTGAGCAGTGGTGTGTGCTGGTGGGTTACCTTCTAAGAAAGCAGCGGAGTGGAATAATTTAAGATCTCAAAACCATTTTCTCAGCTGCCTTTTTACCTACTAAAAGAGTCATAGCTTACCTGAAATCTCAGTTGTGTATTTTTAAGGCCGCAAGTAATTCATATTGGTTGCTTCTCTGAGTCTCAAGATGTAGTAATCAGGGAAAATGTTGGGGGGAAATCAGTGTTTGAGCTATCGCTTACCACCACAAGTTTCCCATTTTTATTTTTCCTCTTTGTGTTGGGTTAAACTCGGGGCCCTGATCATGCTAACACGGTGCCTTGCCACTGTACTGCACCCTTTATGTCCCCCGTTTCTTGCACATTGCTTAAAGAGGGTCTTTCTTTGAGGCTACTTTTGAAAGATCCTTGAAATCAAAATATCCTGAGGTGTAAGCCTTAAAAAAGGACCATCCTCCGTGGTCATAAATGATTTCCTAACTTAAAAGTGTTTTTATAAAAGCTGTGGAGTGTGCGAGTACTGTATGCATATATGCACCTTTTATACTGAGACTGGCATCTTGGTTGGAGAATGTCTGCCTGGTGACTTGTCTGTTCAGCAGAGGGCTGGGAGTGGCTTGGCAAACTACAGATAAGTTTAAAATAAGCTTGCCTTAAAATTCAGATTTCTCTAAAGAGAGAAATGGGATATCCAATGTTTGCCTTTTTAATAGTCTAAGCTTAAACTTTGATATTTGAAAACATGATTTGCTTATGGGAGTATTTATCATTTTAGGAATAAGACGTGTTGGAAGAAGACCTGATCAACAACTTCAGGGGGAAGGGAAAATAATTGATAGGAGACCGGAACGGCGACCACCTCGCGAAAGGAGATTTGAAAAACCACTTGAAGAAAAGGGTGAAGGGGGAGAGTTTTCCGTTGACAGGTAAGTTTTGTTTAAAATCTCGTCAGTTTGTCTTCAGGCATAATTGCCAGAGAGGGGGTATGGCGGTTTTTTCTGAGATTTAAAGAGGAAATCTGAGCGTGTTTCACTTAGACCTTTGGGTAACAGCTCAGATTTAGAGCAGTTGCCCTGAAACACTTCAGTTGAATTGGTGGCTAGTTTCTTTTCCTTGCTCTCCCCAGATGTTGAATTAAAAGGATGCTATTGGTTAATTACTTAGGGCAAAGCGAATTGCATTCTGTGCAGGTTAGTTGTGTAAATTTAAGGGTATCGATGAGTAGCAGTTTCTCTGGATTACAGTACAATGTGTAACAATTAAACGTGCACTAGAAGTAGTGTTTTAAAGAAAGCCAAAGTAACTTTAATGTCCTGGTTCCATGTGTTTAGAAATGGACTTGAATTCTCTAAAGCGTGTAGAACTTTTGGGTTATAAGCATGTTGTGTATTTGTGTGCCTTTTAATGAATTTTTCTGGAAATCTTGGAGGAATGATTGTAAAATTTTGTGTTGCAGGCCCATTATTGACCGGCCTCTCCGGGGGCGCGGTGGCCTTGGAAGAGGGCGCGGTGGCCGGGGCCGTGGCATGAGCCGAGGAGATGGGTTTGACTCTCGTGGCAAGCGTGAATTTGATAGGCATAGTGGAAGTGATAGATCGTAAGTCTTATATTGGTGGCTAATTAATTTGACATTTTAATATGTTTCTTTAAAAAACAAAATTTGAATTTCTAGAACTAAAGAGTATTATGTTAACTCAGTTTTGTTAGTTCTTTTTCACATTACAGCAGCCTGAAGCACGAGGACAAGCGAGGAGGTAGCGGATCTCACAACTGGGGCACCGTCAAAGACGAATTAACGTTGGTATTCTGATTTTTTAAAGTAAACAATTCTAGTAAACTGATGCTTTGCCTGAGTAGAGCCCCACCCGCTCTCACGAGTAATTTTGTCTGAGCAGAGTATGGGTGCTCAGTCAGAGCTGCTGTCTTGGGGTGGGAGCTGACCAGCTTTCTGGGCTTCCTGAGTGTGCGTCAGCAGTTAGCATGGGAAGAAAGCATTTTACCACCCTGGAGTAATTTGGGTGTTCTGATAGCTGTGTGTCTTCAGAAGTTCCTGTGTTAGCTATTGCATTCTAGTCTACAGAGCTCCATGAGCCAGTAGGGCTGTGTTTTAAAAGTACGTGAACCAACTGGCCAGTAGCTTACAGTGCGTCCTTTGCTCTTAGAGGTCTGCTGGGGGGGAGTCAGTAGGGAAATTTAAAGCATGTTGAACATTGTTATTTTTATGTGAAGACTGTTGCGCTACATGTAAATGGACCTGGATGCCTTTTTCTTTCTTTCCATAGAGAGTCCCCCAAATACATTCAGAAACCACTGTCTTATAATTGCAGTGACTTGGATCAATCAAATGTGACCGAGGAAACACCTGAAGGTGAAGAGCACCCTGTGGCAGACACTGAAAATAAGTAAGTGGCACTGAAGTGCTGCTCCCACCTTGAGAGGACTTGTGTGGCTCGCGACAGGCAAGGCTTGACCTGTCCCCTCAGCCCCCAGAAGGGCGCTGCACCGCAAGAGATTGGGGTTTGGAAAAGGCGCCCGTTGTGTTGCACCCGCATGTGTCACACCTGTCGAGTGGGGCCTCTTTGCGCCCTAGCTGCAGAAATGACCGAAAGGCTGGGCTGGGGGAGATGGGCGCCTGCGTGGGAGCCCTGCTGGGTGGGAACAGGTAGCCGGTGATTCGGAGGCCGCGGGCTGACAGGAGAACACCATGCTGGGATATGAAGTTCTGTACTGCTTGAATTCATTGCTCAGAGTAATTGAGGCACTTTGCAACCCCACAGAATAAAACCATGCAGTTAAAGCGAGGGAATGTGACCGTGTTAAAGTTGGCCTCGTTTCAGGCTGGGGATTTAGCTTAGTGGCACTGCACCTGCCTTGTAAGCGTGAGGGCCCTGAGTTCCATCCCCTGTACCACAAAAGAAAAAAGCTTCATCTCTAGGTTTTTGTCCTATTGACAGAATTTGGAATATAGTGTAACTGACCCACCTTAAAATGTGTAAAGAGCGAAGAGGAGAAAGTTGCTAGTTTGGTAGTTCTCAGTGTTTGTTCCGGAGTTTAGGTTGAAGACATGGTTTTGAAGTTTCTATTTTTTCAAGGGTCAGAGAGAAAAAGAGCAAAGTCAAGCTGGACATGGGAACTCACACCTGTGATTGTGAGTTCGAGCCCCCCTGAGCTACATAGCAAGAGCCTATTTCAAAGAACAAAAGCCAACCTGGTAGGTGTACCAGTGCCTCCCTGAAGTGTAGCCACCTGAGGAGGAGCTGCAGGCCAGTGAGCCTCCAATTCAGAGGACTTGGGGAAGGGGTTTTGATCGGTACCAACCAGTCACTTGTGGTGTGGAAGGAATGTCAGGACATTCTGTGGCCATTCCCCCTCCAACTTCCTTCCCGCCACTTCCCAGGCCGTGACGAGCAGCACTCTTCTCCGTTTCTGAAGTGACATTTTCAGCTTCCATGTATAAGTAAGAACATTTGGTCTTTGTGTTTCTGTGCGTGGTGAATGGTAGTGTTCCCCTGGTCCCATCGCTGTTGCTGTGGTCTGCTCTTGAGGCTGGGCAGTGGGCCACTGTACAGACCATGTTTTCTGTTGCATTCTGTCTGGAAGGACATATGGACTGGCTCTGAGTCTCGGCTGCTGTGGGATTGCTGAGTCCTATAGGAGTTCATTTCTAGCTTTGAGGCAGATGTATTCTGCTTTTCAGTATAGGGGGATTGAAACCAGGGCAGTACCAGAGCTGTGCCCCAGCCCTTTTTATTTTTTATTGTGAGACAGTCTTGTTAAGTTATCCGACTGGCCTTGGTCTTGTGATGCTTGTGTTGCAGTCTTGTAGGGCACTGACACCCACACGTGCCTGGCCCTCTTGCTGCTTGTTGTTGTTGTTGCGTTGCTAGTTGTTGTTTTTTAAGAACCATGAGTGGTGTTTCCATCATGCAGTAGTCGCCTTCCCAGCAGTGCATGAGAGTTGCCCTTTCTCTGCGTGTGTGCTAGTGATCTGCAATACTGAGAATGTTTTCATATATTTGCTAGTCATTTGCATATCTTTAGGGAAATGAGTGTTCCTGGTATTTTGTTGTTGTTGTTATTGGTACTGGGGATTGAACTCTGGGACTTTGCACCATTTGGTGGAACCACTACTGAGCTAAATCCCTTGCCAGAAGAAAATGTTTTACTATTGAATTTCTGTTAATTCCTCCTTAGACATGACCCCATTTGTCTATTTTTGTTTTTGTTATATCCAAAACATATTTCCTAGACCAGCTCCCTGAAGCATTTCTTTCAGTTGGGACCTTTTCCTATTTCGAGTGAGTTTTTTTGTAGTGAGAGATAGGGATCTAGTTTCCTTCTCTCACATGGGATGTACAGCATCCCAGCACCACCTCTTAAAGCAGCTGCCCTTTTTCCAATGTGTGTTCTTGTATCTTCGTAGAAAATTTGTGTCCGAGCTCTCTGTTCTGCCCGATGTGTCTTTGCAGGTAGAGCAGCAATTCTCAGCCGGTCTGTATCCAATTCAGTTGGGAAGGGGATAGTTTTTCTGAACTTTTCTCTGGGAAGAATTCTTAGGGCGAGTCGCTGCTAATGAGAAGGGAGCACCCCCTGGACTGCTTGGTTGGCAAAAGGAAGAATCATCACTGGTGGAGGAAGTAGATTGATTAGCAAGTGGCATTATGCTCTTGGGGTAATAGAAACTTATATTTATATGAAGCTATGTGCAGTCATAATTTTGTGTGTTGAACAGTGAGTTGTTGAGCTATATGAGCCCTGTAGTAGCGTGCAGTATCCCACGATGTTCAGCTACTCATTCTATAAACAACCTAGTTTGAAACATTTTCAGGATAATCTGCGAAGATTACAATTGTTTATCTGAAAGAATTTCATTGTAGGGTATTGGAGGCAAATCCTTAGCTAAAGACCCAGGAATGAAATGAAGTAGTAATTGGCCAGAGGCTCACACATCAGAGAAGTCCTCCCCTCACCCTGGAATAGGGGCGATACTGAACATAGTGTTAGATCGATCTTCTGGCAGTAAACATTTTAGAAGTACAGTGTATTTAAGTACAGCGTAACTCCCATGATTTCCAGAGCTGCTGATTTGACCCTGCAGCAGTCCTTAAAAGTAGGTGCTTCCTTCTAGATAGGATCAGAGGTTAGTGAAGTTCTGCTCTTCCTTGTATAGCGGTGGTGGATAAGTTAGGGCTGTTCTTAGAGCCTTGGGTTTATCTGAGCCAGCAAGTTAGGTGCCACACCCAAGATCCCAAGTAAACTTGCTCTAGGAAGTTCTAAGATAGATAAAGTTCGTCAGACAATAAAGGCTGCCATCAAGGGGGATATTTGAGCCCAAGGCTAACTAAATCATTTGCTATCTTTGGAAGAGAGCAGGGCTCCCAGAATAGTAAGTGACTTGTTTGGTGACAATTGAAAGGTAACACTAAAATAACGGCCCTCTGTGCTTTGTTTCTGTTAAAGAAAGGTGACTTAAAATAGTTACAACCTGGCAGTTGCATTTTGCATTAACTTAGTATTGAGTAGTAAAGCCTCTGTATTTGGCCTGCGGTGATTATTAGTGAAACCTCCTGTGAGTGGTTTTGAAAATTGGATTATAGCATTTGTAGAAACTTAGCTTTTGTTGTTGTTGTTGTTTGTTTTTTGACTTGAGTGCAAGTCCTTGGAGTAAAAGCTAGCCGAGGCAGCTCTTCCTACTGCAGTCTCCAGGCATCCTCACCTTCACATAAGGGGTGACTGTGTTGGGGGGAGTAAAGAGCTGGGTTTCCATGTCTTGTCTTTTGTTTTCTCTCTCTCTCTTTTTTTTTTCCTTTGAGACAGGGTCTCACTGTGTAATTCCGACTGCCCTGGAACTCACTGTGTATAGCCTAGGCTTGTCTCAAACTCAGGCAGTCCACCTGCCTCAGTCTCCTGGGTGCTGGGATTACAGGCCTGCGCCACTCGATGTGTTTTCAAACGTGTAAGGCCACTGACGTTTTTTTAAAACGTGTAAGGCCACTGACGTTTTTTTACTGACAAATGATGGTGTGATCGGCTTTGGGCTCTTCATCCATCTGAGCTTGGGTTAGTGATTGCTGACTCCTGGGTCCACATGTTATACAGTGGCCTTTGGGCTACACAGGAAACCTGATGCCCAGCCTTGCGTGATCTCTCAGAGACTTTTAACCAGCCAAATTTGACTTCCTTATCACAAGTTTGAAATGTTTTTATGCAAATTATAGCAGCCATTTACCAGGTCTAATATTTAACATCTTTTCACAGAGAGAACGAAGTTGAAGAGGTTAAGGAAGAGGGCCCAAAAGAGATGACTTTGGATGAGTGGAAGGCGATCCAGAATAAAGACCGGGCAAAAGTAGAATTTAATATTCGAAAACCAAATGAAGGTGCTGATGGGCAGTGGAAGAAAGGATTTGTTCTTCACAAATCAAAGAGCGAAGAGGTAAACTAAGATTTGTTGTGTTGGAAAATGTTTGGAAGAGTTGAATCTTGCTTATAGTTCTCTCTTTGAATTTCATATGGATAAAGGCTTCATGAAAAACATAAAGCTTAGGTATGGTAGAGCACACCTGGAGTCCCAGGACTCTGAGAAGCTGAAGCAGGAGGATTGGAAGTTTGAGGCTAGCCTGGAAGACTTAGCGAGGTACCATCTCAGAAAAGGGAGTTGAGATGCTGCTCTTTACGAAGGCCCTGGATTTGGTCCCAATACCTGCCACCACCACAAAGAAAGCTTTACGTTGTATCAATTTCAGACAAGTAGCTTAATTTAAAAGAGCCATAAACTTACTACACATTGCAAGAAATTTTATCCTTGGATCAGTCTGTAGTTACGTTCAGTATGGTTGGTTTCTGTTTCCTGGAAAGCTATTAGTCGATGACATACATGATTACCATTTAGAAGAATGGTAGTTACTCCCAAAGGTGTGCTTACATTTTTTTAAAAAAATCTTAAACCTCACTGGGAACCATTAAAAGACTGTTGTGCTGCTAGATTAAAATGCTGGCATTTTTGTACAGTTTAACCTAAATTCAAAGCAGCTTCTTAGGATCTGCTGCCCACACCACACCATGGGGTGTTGGTGACAACTCAGTAGATAATGTTAATAAATACTGCCAGTTTACTGATGGGTTTCCTTTACCTGGGAAACAAAATGTGAAGAAAGTGTCATACAATAAAAGGATCTGGTAGGACTTTGTTTCTGGTTCTGGGTTGAACCCAGGGCCTCAGATCCCCAAGTGTGTGCTGTGCTTTGAGCCGTGTAGGCATCGGCGGGCAGGGTCTCGTGTATTTTAGTTTACCAAGCAAAAGTGGCTGTGGGACAAACTTGGAAAGCTGAAATGGAGACTAAAGGGACCTGAATGTTTTCTGAGTTTAGAAAGAATGATTTTAGCATTTACTTCCTAAAAGTAGTAAAGAGGATATTTATTTCAAATGTGAAATATGATAGAAAGACATATTTGTTTAACTAGAATAGTTTATCCCTCCCTGCCCCCGCTTCAGTTTTTGCACATGAAATTGTGCGTGTACGAGTAGGAATCCTAGTTCAGGAGCCAGGAGGGTTCATGTTGGGAATATTGTCCATCTGAAGTTATCAGACTGCTAGGTTAATTTGAAAATGATGGCGTAAACTCCTGTAAGACAGTTACTGTAACTTTTTTGGCTTCCCATGGCCCTTTTCCCATAAAATTGTAGTTTTAATAGAAATAATAACGCCTGGGATTCTCTTTGTGCATTTGATACACATTGAGTTAAGTATCCTAATTTTTAATATTTTACACTGAGCTTTTTCAGAAACAGTATCCCCTTATATGGGGTTTCACTTTGTGCACTTTTGGTCATTGCTGTTTCAGTAAGTAGTGAATTTTTGTCTTAACTCATAATACATGTCAAAATATTATGCAGTGCACAGAATGTCAGCTGCACGCCACTCAGTATAGGTGATGGACTTTTTGCGCCATCCTGTTCTGTCTCTCCAGGCTGTGCGATGCACCCTTTGTCTAGTTTGTCCTTGCTGTGTGCTACCTGCACTGTAGTCACTCTGTAGCCTGTCCGTAGGAAAAGGCGTGGTACACGTACAGATTTGGCGCTGTCTGGTGTCTGGCATGGGAGGTGTTGGGATGTGTGCTGTGTGGATGGGGGAGGGACTTCTGTGTCAGATGTTTCTGCAAATTACATGGACTCAGGTGAGAATGACTCTGCAGTGAGATCACTGATCACCCGGACCCACGTATGTGTTTGGGGCTCACCGTTAGTGCTCCTCGGAGCTAGCGATGCTCGTTTCAGTCAGGCCTTGCTGACCTCAGACATGTTTATTTAGGCTTCGACCTATGAGGTATATGACATTTTAAGGCATCTTCGCTGCAGCTTGGAGGAAAGAAGAAGCATAGCTGTAGAAATGGGGACTGGGTTACTGTGTTAGTGACAGCTGCGATCAGACCTGTGCTTTGCCAGCATCCTCTGGGTGCACTAGAAAAGCTTTGTGTGGCCCCCAGGGATCAAATTCAAGCCCTTGCTCTTAGGAGGCAGGCGCACACACTGCTGAGCTACATCCCCAGCCGTGCCTTCTGTGTCCTGAGTTGCCTTAAACGTGAGGGGTATGGCTTGAATATCCGGACTTTTCCAGATTGTAGCAAAACCTTCTGGTATTTTGGTGATGTCGCAGCTTAGGCTTTGTTTTTGTGCTCTAGAAACACTCAGTACGACCTAATAAATGGATTAATGCTTGGAAATAGCAAGGATTTAAAAAGATGACAGAATAATCGATTCTTAATTTGCTAGGTGTTTTGTAGATTTCAGGTTTTTAAAAATAATAGAATCGTGTTGCTTTTGAATTTGGCACAGCACAAAGGGGGCCGTTTAATTTGGGCTTCAGATGAAGGTGTGGCTGCAAACCACACATGCGCTCCTAACAGTTGATCACAGTGAAAGCGGAATCACCTGCATCCGAAGGGGGATTCACTGTTTGAATTTACAGCAGAGCTCAGGAGACGGGGCTCCCTAACCCTCTCTTCCAGTGCAGAGGGTGTGCAGTTCACACAGCTGACTCTGACTTGCAGGAAGTCCCCCGTCCACCGAAACTTAAAACTGCAGGGTACTCGGGCACAGCTTTTCAAGAGCCCCTCTGCGGAAAGCCTGTGATGTGTGTGGCTGGCGCTCTAGTTACGCGGAAGAACAATTCACCTTGAACATCCTTTATCTGCAATGCTTGGCCTGTAGTGTTTCCGATTGTAGTTTTTTAGATTCTGGAGTATTTGTGTAGACTTGAATGCTTGAACATCCCTGATTTAGCTCCAAGGATTTTAAGTGTTCTGTCAGTACTCAGAAGCTTAGCTTTCCGATTGGCAGTGCTCAGCCTGTGCTTAAATAAAGACCGGAGACGCCTGCGCGTGCCGTCTTCTCCCTCACGGGAGCTGTGCAGGGCAGAAGTGCTGTCCCCACCTGGGGGCCTGGCCCTGCCAGTGTCACCTGCAGAGAGACGGGAGTCGAAGCGAGGCGAGGAGGTGCCGGGCGCGAGAACCCCGCGCTGGCTGCTGCCTGTGGAGCAGTGGGTGCCATGGCGTGCACAGGGCAGGCTGGCGAGGTGGCTTGGAGGAGGGGACTTACTGTTGACCGCCCCATTTTTGTTCTAGGCTCACGCCGAAGATTCTGTGATGGACCATCACTTCCGGAAGCCTGCAAACGATATCACGTCCCAGCTGGAGATCAACTTTGGAGACCTTGGCCGCCCAGGGAGGGGTGGCAGGGGAGGACGAGGCGGACGTGGGCGTGGAGGGCGCCCAAACCGTGGCAGCAGGACTGACAAGGTAACTCCAAGCTCTTTGCCCTTTACACAGTCTAGTAATTCAAAGACTGTCTAGAAATTTGGAGACTTACAAAGTAGAAGTAGTAAAAGACATACCTGCCTTTAAGAAAGTACATTACAAGCCAGTCACAGTGGCACGTGCCTTAATTCCAGCACTTGGGGAGGCTGAGGCAGGAGGATCTCAAGCCCAAGTTCTCTTGGCCAGTTTGGTGAGATGATGTTTCAGGATAATGAAGGGACAGGGCTGCAGTGTAGCTCTGTAGTAGAATGTGTCCTCATGAGAAGGTACTTTTTAGTTCGCGTTACCATGTTGATTGCCCTTGTTTTGCAGTGAGGAAATTGAGGAGCAGGGAATGAGGCTTTATGTTGGCCTTTGATAAGGCTCCCTGGAAACACCAGGCTGTTCGCGGTACTTCAGGGTCCCTCATTGCCTTTCATTTCAGCCTGACCACCTCTATGTCCATTGCATAAGTCACCCGCTGTGTGATGAGATTGTGAGCCCTTTGTATTGTGCCTTATTTCTTACTAAACTGTTGTGAGAATTGGGTTTATTTTGCCCCATTTTCTGTCTGTAGTGATTTGTGTTGTGCATGGCAAAAATAATATTTATATTCAAATTTATTTTTTTGGTTTTGGCGGGGGTTAATTGTATTTTTATTTTTTGCAGTTCAGTCTGGCCTTACATTCACTGTGTAGCCCAGGCTGACTTGACACTTGCAGCAGTCCTCCTGCCTCAGCCTCCTGAGTGCTGGGATTACAGGTGCACACCATGCTGTCTGGCTCTTAGTGAAATATTTTAATAGATATCCTAGAAATGATAAATTTGAACTCAAGCCTGTCGTATGTCACAGTATTCGGTAACTTTGAATTCTGAACACCCTCAATCCAGTCTGTCAGTGTTTGGTTGTAATGACTGACGCTACAGGATTTATTGTCACCAGAGACAACGTGGTGATGTTTTGTTTCTTCCTGACATAAATATGGGCCTCATCAGTGCATCGTTTTAATCTCCTCCCTTGTACTTGGTGCCATAAATAGCCGTTGACCCTTTCTCTTAACACTAAATGCTTGTCAGTTGTCTTAGCTGGCTTTCACATTGATGCCATTCTTATTTTGAAGTGGAAAAACTGTAAGATTACAGAATAACCAAGTGAAAAATCCCATGTGCCTGATTTACTAGGAAAGTAAGAGCAGCCATGGTGTCACTAGGGAATCCGCTGTGTCCGGGAGAAACAGGAGGCCCTGGAAGGAAGTGCGGTCCTGCCCTGGTTTGCCATGGGCTGTGGAGCGGAGGCTCTGCTGTGTCCGCTGCACCGGGGCCCTGCGGGTCTCCCGGCTCACGCTGGTCTGCTTCTTTTCCAGTCGAGCGCTTCTGCCCCGGATGTGGATGACCCGGAGGCCTTCCCGGCTCTGGCCTAACTGGATGCCCTGAGACGCCCTGGTTCCTCGGTGGATCCTCTTGTTCAAAGCTTTGCATGCTTAAAGTTTCAAACAACTAAGAAATTTAAAAAGGAAAAAAAAAAAGACTGTCATTCATACCATTCACACCTAAAGACTGAATTTTATCTGTTTTGAAAATGAACTTCTCTCGCTACACAGAAGTAACAAATATGGTAGTCAGTTTTGTATTTAGAAATGTATTGGTAGCAGGGATGTTTTCATAATTTTCAGAGATTATGCATTCTTCATGAATACTTTTGTATTGCTGCTTGCATATATGCATTTCCAAACTTGAAATATAGGTGTGAACAGTGTGTACCAGTTTAAAAGCTTTCACTTCATTTGTGTTTTTTAATTAAGGATTTAGGTGTCCTCCAATTACAGACTGGTTTTAAATATTGGACGTACTATTGGTTTTAAAACCTGCTTTGCATTTTCACACATGGTCAAATGGGACGTGTAAACTTTGATTTGTCAGATTCTATGCTGTGTGGAATACTAACTACTCTATGTATTTTAACTTAGTTTTAATACTTTCATTTTTGGGGAAAAGTCTTTTTTCACTTCTCACAATAGCTGTTATATATGCTAAATCTTTATATACAGAAATACCAGTACTTGAACAGAGTCAAAGCACAGTGGTTTATTAACCCCCGCTCTGCCGCATGGTTCCTGAGGGTCGGATTTACTTGGCTGTAAGCTCAGCTGGATCACCTTAGGCTGTGACTTTCCCGTCTAGCGTGAGTGGGTTCTGTGGGGTGTGGGGTGGGCAGACCGAGCAGTCGGCTGAAGTGGGCGGGACCTTTACACTGCCGTGAGTCTGGCCCTGGTGTGGTCCTGTGTGGAAAGTAAATCTGTAGTCAGCAGAAGCCAGAGGCCCTGGTCTACACGGCGAGGCGGATGTTCTCTAGGTTTCTGGCAGGAGGAAAGCAGACGGCTTTACTTTGTAAGGTTGGGACAGCAGCACCATCCATAAAACACAAGCCACAGTTGTATTGCTCGTGACTTTCCTGTTCGGTCACTCCTCGGTCTTCAGCTGGGGAGGGTGTGGGCCCCGGAAGGGGAGAGCGGGAGGGAGGTCAGCCGGGCTCCTGCAGGGCCAGTGGTGCCAGGGCCCCTTAGCAAGTGTCCGTGGCGACAGCCATCAGCCAGTAGGGTTGCTAGGAGTTTTTTTCATTTTGCCACATTCATTGATTAAATGGGGAAGGAATTCTGTTTAAAAAGTTTTAACACTTCTGTCATTCTATTGTCAGACATTTTCTACCTCTAGTAATTTCCAGTTTTAAAAGTATCAGCGATCCTAACCTTAAGCATGCCTGCCGCTCAGCTGACTGGTATCAGGAGCCTCCCGGGCGCTGGACCAGCCCTGTCCCTGTCCCTGTCCGGCGCCCGCTGGTCTCGGGGGAGAGGGCGGAGCGACGCTGCCCAGCGTCCTGCTCTGGTGCTAACGTCGAGTGTTGTCCCTGCCCCGAGACCCCAGGGCCGCTGCCCGGAGCACGTGTGTACGTGGCAGCTCACTGCTGTTAGGATGCCTGGCTGTCACCGCGTCACCAGGAGCACGGCAGCCCTGCAGTCACAGGCAGGCAGCCTACACCCGAGAGCCGGTCCACTGGCTGCGTGTGATGTGAATTTCCCTCCTAGTTCACTTTGTGTCAAGAGCTAAAACTGTGAACCTAACTTTCTCATTGGGTAATAACTGAAAATAAAGATTTATTTTCATGTTCAGTTCTTAAAGTCATAAAAGCAATCAAACAGCCCACAGATTGTCACGTGTGTCCTGGTTTTTAACCTCTATATTCTGTAACGCTCACTTTAAGTATAAAAAGAATGTTTTGAGGTTTTATTTGATAAACCAGGTTATGGAGTCACATTTGGGAGCTGCCCCTGTCCCAACAGCAGCTAAAATTGAGTTAATCTGCATTCTGAGGGCTGGCAGTGCTGTCCTCACTGAAGTCACTCGGGCAGCTTGTGAGGTGTTCCCAGCTTGAGGTTATTAGCGGAGTTGGAGCAATTCTGTGACGTCTCAGGTGCTGTCTCCGCTCTTCACTGGGTTTTATGTTAAAAGTGGAAACCTTTCCAGGACCAAGTAAATTTGAGGCTGGCTTCTGGTAAAGATTTGGAGAGGAGTATTCTGATTGTTTTCATTGGTAGAAAGGACTGCACTAAAAAGCAGTATGGAGAGTGACAAAGTTTAAATATTGTGTATTGTTTTCTTTTTGGTACCGGAGATTGAACTCAGGTCCTTGCGCTTGTGAGGCAGGTGCAGCACCACTGAGCTAAGTCCCCAGCCCTTGTGTATTGAATTTTGAAAGCCGATGTTGAAGAGAACAGCCGGTGGAGGACGCCTGCTCTGAGGCTGATGGTGTTGCCCTTCCGGTGAGGTGCATGGGGCCCGTCCTGGCCCGTCGAGGACTCCCGCCCACTTTGTCATGTGAGCACAGCCAGTGCCAGGGCTGGGTTTCTAGTACTGAGGCCGTAAGTGGCTCCCAGTTGAGGGGAGTTGTGTCCCCGTCCTCCCGCCCCCCTCCTGGGCAGAGGTGGGCCGGGCCGGGGCCTGGGCAGGTGGTGCTTAGCCACCCCCAGGTACCAGTACAGTACCTCAGCTCACTGTTCAGATTGGGAGGTAGAAGTGACGGACACGGGTGAGGTATTCAGTATGTCCAAGGATCCCAGGAAACAGTACTGTCAGTGCAGATACTAAGAAGGGAAGTGCTTACCGTGTGCTGTCTCAGCCCTGCACGGCAGCACATACCTGTAACCCAGCTACTTGGGAGGCTGAGGCAGGATAATCCAATTCCTCATGAGCCTGGGCGAGTGGAGGGTGTGTGCGCACACGCCAAGTGTCAGCAGAGGCCTGTGGCCGGCTTTTGTACCTGAGTCTGAGTTTTAAGTGTAGGTGCAAGTTAACCCTCCCTGCCTCTGGGATGCTGTGAGGTAATTTCAGACCACCTCGCCTCTGTATCAGCAGGGACAAGGTACTGTACCAGGGAGAGGGAAAGCAGATTTTGATCCTAACACACGTGGCTGGCAGCTCCCACGCACTCTTACCGATCAGTGCTCGACACCCCGGGTTCCAGTTCGGCGTCACCCGATGAGCAGGGTGCCGAGATGCCACTCCTGAGGGAACGCCCTGCCCTGTGCAGGCTGCTGGCTCCCTTCCTGCTGCACTTCATGCCCCGGGTTGTGGCTTTGGGCTGCTGCCCACTTGGTAGGAAGGGGCCAGAATTCCAAGTGGCCTGCACAGGGTCTGGGCTGCCATGTAGCTGTGCCGTCAGTGGCCTGAGCCCACAGTGAGGACACAGCGCTGGCCTGTGACTGCATGGGCCCTGGTGTGTGCGTGAGCAGCCGGGAAGAGCTGTGGGACAGGAGTCCAGGTGTGCACTGCCACTCTGGTGACCGGCCGGTTCCCCTCGGGACGTGAAGAACTGATACTGGTTTCCATGTAGTTCCCGCGTCTGGTCCCAGCGGTTTTGTCCTTGACATCTGGGTGCCTAGGGCTGCGTCGCTGACACCAGTGTCCTCGCAGCCCATCTCCTGACGCGCTGTGGGAACCGGGGTGAGGTGCCGACAGGAGGAACTCAGACACAAGCGGCTAGGTTACGTGGCTGGACGTATATAGGCCTTCAGGATGGGAAATTAATGTTGACACAGGCAGTGGGTTTCTTTCTTCCTGAGACTGAGTGGTGGGTGGCCAGGAACTTGCCCGTAAAAGCAGAGCCCTGGACTTGAGCTTCATCTTGTGCTCCAGTTTCTCGTATGCTCCTTACGTGTTCGGGAAGGCTTAGCTTCTTGCCACACTATTGTGCACACCTGTAATCCCTGCACTTGGGAGGCCGAGGCTGGAGGCTCGCTGTGGGTTCGAGGCCAGCCAGAGCTATATAGCCAGACCGTCTCCAACATGCACCCGTGGAAGTCTAGATTAGGAGATGCTGGAGAGGGCGTGGGAGGTCCGGACTTTGTGAAGCAGTTTTTTAAAACAGATGCTCACTGCTTTAAAGTTATGGTGGCGTTGGCGGGCACAGCGGACGTGTTGTGTGCGCCCCACACCGCTGGGTCACCACGGTGCCCAGAACCTTGAAGGTTGGTTACAGTAGATCAACAACATCTGGTAGATTTTTCTGAACAGGTGTATGAGTCCTGGGCAGCTGCGTGAGTGAGTCAAATACGAGGGCTGGAAGCCACATCAAAAGAAGTTCTTTTGGGGCTGCACAGCCTGCAAAACAACATTTGGGCGTCCGAGCGTGGTGGTGCACACCTGCAAACCCAGCACTTGGGAAGCCGAGGCAGGAGGGTTGCCGAGTTCAAGGCCAGCCTGGACTACACAGTGAGATGTGTTGCAGAACAAAACAAAAAAACCAGCCCACAAAAAGATGCCTGGGAAAGACGCGTTCTTCGGGGGGAAACGGCTGCACCTCCTGATGGAAGACAGCAGTCCCTTGGGAGAGCAGGGTGTCCCCCAGTCCCATGCTACTCGGGGCCCGCAAACCTTGGACGCAGTGACAGTGTTTGAGAGAGAGCATGCGCGTGGACAGCGGGAGGCGCGGCCCTGCGGAACACCCTGGCTTTCATCTCTCCAGGCAGGTAACGCGGATGTGAGTTTCGGAAAAATCCACCCTGTGGCCTCAGAGCAGCCGCCTGGCACAGAGGCAGAGGCGGGAGAGCCCGGGTCCCAGCAGCCCTGGGGGAGGAGGGACGGGCCGTGTTTCGTCTCGGCTGTGGGGTGCAGAGCCGGCGCCGTGGAGTGGGCTCGGCCAGGCCTGGGTCGTGAGAGGGGAGCTGGCCGGGACTCCTGACAGTTCTCCCTGGGTCCTCTGCCTGTCGGAGGTCCCACTTGGGGAAGGGAGGCGGCTGCAGGCCGGGGGCAGCGTGCGATAGGCAGGTTTCAGAGGCACAGCAGGACGGTTTGTGAGGCTGCCGGAGGCTGGCAGTGAGACTAGAGTGCGTCTCGCAGACGAACGTACCAGCTCCCGAAACGTGGTCTCCACTCCTGGTGGCTCGCGGTGACTGTCCCAGTCCACCCAACTTAGGTGAGCAGTGGGGGCTGTGTCCCCGCGGAGAGGGACAGCACTGCGCCGCTCTCCAGCTCAGTCCCGGCACTGCCCCTGGGCTGCACGGTGGCTGGCCACGGAGGACGGGGAGGCTGAGGCAGGAGTGCTGCAGTGAGCATGAGGCCAGACGCAGTCAGCTGGCTGCTCCCGTGGCCAGTGCTGCCCTCCACTCCCATCCCCTCGCCCCTTGCCGGTCACGAGCTGGGCTGGAGGCGAGGTCCTCAGGCCACAGGGACGCCGCCAGAGTCATCCCTGCCGCCCGCCCAGGACCTGCGAGTTCAGGGCTGGAGCACGAGGGAGCCGCAGCCCATTCTGAGCCGGTCCAGGGTCAGCCTGGGGCCGCAGGTGCCACCGAGGGGCTGGACGGGGCTGGTGAAGATGGAGAGGGTTAGGGGTGGTAGCTCCCGCATGGGCCCCGGGGGCAGGGACTCAGGGATGGCCAGGTCCCCCGGGCTGGCAGGGAGATAGCCGTCAGGGCCTGGGAGGGTCGCGGCCTGAG